TCGTGGCAGGTGCAGTACTTGGCGGGCCTTGAAGTGCAGATTTCGTGACACCTGCACTACTTTTTGGGCCTTGAAGTGCAGAGTGCGTGGCAGGCGCAACACTTTGTGGTCCTTGAAGTTTTTGTTTGGCTTCTTTGGTTGTTTGTGTTTCGTGGCAGGCGCAGTACTTTGTGGACCTTGAAGTGCAGATTTTGTGGCAGGTGCAAGACTTTAGGTTGACGTGCAGATTTCGTGGCAGGTGCTCGCACTGCACTTACGCGCGCGGAAAGTCTATTTACTTGTCTTGCGCGGTGTGTATGTCACGTGCACTGCGCAAACTCACCAAACACACACAGTCACAGAAAACTGAATCCGACGCTCCAGTGCTCAAAGACCTCTCTCACTCAAAAAGCGAAGTGTCTTGGTGTGTCTTCCTGGCTTTATTCTGTAAGTGCCCTTGAACCTTGAGCCAAAGCGAAATTCAAAGCTTCGGCCTTTGCCGTGAGATGAACTTTCTCACCTCCAAAAACGGTCTTTCAAGTGAGTAGAAAAGCAAATGCTTCAACGCAACTTTTTAAACGGAAAAGTGGCTAGGAACGACGGCTTTCAAAGGCGTCGTCAAGCATACAAAAAGCTGTTGAGTCAATGCTCACATTCGCATGCATATGGCATGGGTGTCGATACATATAGCGACCCAATCCACACATACAGGAATGCCATTTCCACACTCCCTCTTGGATGGGAGTCGCGGTACAAAGACCTTCGGCCCTTTTCTTCTTACTAGGCCTCAGACTGATCATCAAGATTTGTCAAACCCAAGCCGGTTCTCATGTCATAGCTTCGTCCCTGGCTCATTGCAGCCATCGCAGTGGTCCAAAGCTCTCTTCTCACCAATCGCTTCCCTCACGAAGGCTCGCACAAAGCCAGTGTTCTCAACCTTGCGCTCATCATACTTGACCCTCTTCAGGAACCTGGCAAAATCTGGCGCCTGGGTCTTTGCCTGATGAAGAGGCAATAACCTCTCATAGCAGAGCACAATTCATCTTTCTTGTGCTTCTCCATCAACATCTTCGTGGCGCCCCACTACTCTGCCGTCTTGCAATCCTCCGGAAGGGGAACACGAGTGTCTTGATCAGCATACATGCCTTTCAAGATTGCCAAATCATCTGTGCTTCCTGCAATCAGCTCGAACTCTTCGTTCTCTCCAGCATCCTGCTGAATCACACCTTGGGGGGGCCTCTTGCTACCATCCGACATGGTGCCTGCCGAGTATTGCACCATCTCTTTACCACTAGCCTTTGCCAAGCCGCTGCAACTCACGCTGCTCACGGTCTGACAAGGCCATGGCGTCACTCAACTGTCGAGGGCGCTTGGAACTTAGTTTACTCAAGCAAGAACGTCCGATCCCAGAAAAAACATCTCACCACACAG